TGTGTAAGGGATGGAGCAATGTTGTTTGTAGGAACAGTATTAGAAAGAAACATCAGGGCTAAGTACAGACAGTCAAAAAGCCCAAGGCTAAACTGATTCAGTCTTTGCAGGTTAGTTTAAGTTGCCGAGTTTGAACTGATAAGCCAATGAATCACATCAGTAGGACTTCACAGGGTTACTCATCACTTCCTCTTCCTGCTTCCAGGTGCCTCTGGGATTTGTAGTCCACAGTCACAGCCAGCACTAAATTTATCAGGGCAGGGCAGCTCTGTACTTGAGGGAAGGTGAGTTTAAGCCCCCTTCCTGGCCCCAGGCCCCAGCTGGGATTTGCCTCTGGGGGGGGGTAGTAAGCCAACCCTCACTGCTTCAGCTAGGGAGCAGAGGAGCGGAGCCATCCCTGCTCTTTGGAGCAGAGAGCAAAGGCCAACCCAGGGCTGGAAAGCATGCTGGGATGCTGGAGGACTCTGATTTAACTTAAATTAGGAAGGGGTCTGGGACAGACGTTTCAAAAACTGGTTTGACCTAAATCGGTTAAGTCTGATACTACGTTCAACCAAGTTTATCCTAAACCAGTTCCAGCTCTTTTGAAACTGATTTATATGCATGAAACATATGTTATATTACAGGTTTAAACCAGTTTCTGATTACTTAAACTGGTTAACGTGTATCTTCTCTCCCTAGCCCTGTTGTCATGTTTGAGAGTCAGATAACTGCTGCTGCCTCTGCTTGTGTCTATATTGCAAAGGTGGTCTAGCCACAGTATCACAGAGTACCACACAAGCTCACTGACCCTATGTGAAGAGTTTACACATGTGGTTCCCATCTCACCTGAACTCCTTTCACACCTTCATCTTTTGCAACAGGTGGTCAGGCTTTGTGAGGTGAACTCAAAGTTGCAACATGCCCTTCAGCACAGCAGCACATGTGTTGCTGTGAATCCCTTGTGGTGTAGAAAAGAATGTTTTAAGTTGTTGGCTACCAGTTTTACAGAAATAATTGATATAAATTCATAGTCTAGTAAAAGTAGTAGGTCAGATTTTAATAATTCTCTCTGGAAGACAGTTTAAGAATATGACTCTCACTATTTTGATCACATTTCTTTTTTGCCATGCTTTCAAGAATACCATGATTAAAGACCAGTAAAATAATCATAATCATACACTATCACAATACTTGTTATTAATGAACAGGCAAAAAATAAAAAACACAACAGAAAGTGATACAAATGGTTCTTACCATTACTATCTCTTGTAAACCTCTCTTTGGAAAACTTTAACTGCCTTTTGGGTGCACCTACCTACTCTTGGAGGGGACAAAAGTACCTTACTTTCTAAAATTAATAGAAAATTCTGCCATAGCATATCAAAGATAACTAAAACATTTTTAGATGGGCAAAAGACAAAATATATAGAAGGATCAACGGATCCTGTTTATTATGTTGTGGCTAATCAAAACATTTCTCAATGATAAAATGTGAGCCATTTTAAGCAAGTCTTTAATTCAGTTACTTAAAATGAACCCATCCACGGAGTTGTGCTGAGAGTAGAAGCCAATGAATATAAAAAATTCTTATAATTTGAATGAAATCCTCCTATTTCTCTCTTCTTAAAAAAATCTAACTCACCTCTTCTCTCCAGAAACATGTAATCCAAAAAAAATTGGTATTTAGTAAGATAAGCCGTTAATGTCATAATATAATAGCATTTCAATATTACATTGCAAGAAAAATTAAAATAAAATTCCTCTGCAATGCTTTCCAACTCTGTGGGTGCATCTACATGAGGCACTAACTGCTCAGTAGCCTAAGAAAACTGCACAGTAGCAAAAAACTGCACAGTACCCATGCAAAAACTGTGCTAATATGCTACTGTGCAGTAGTATTAGGCTACTTCACAGTTAATGTCCAAAAAAACACATACACTGGCACTACTGCACAGTAGTGTGAGTTACTGTGCATTGATTTAGTACTTGGTTATTCAGGTAACTTAATGCACCATAGTTACTGCACATTAATTAAAGTGTAGATGCACCCTGTCTCACCAAAATATGTTGAAGCTCTGGTCATTTGGATGTCATATGATGTCATTTGAATATGCATGTTGCTACGGCTTGTTACAGTACTGCAGCTGCTTTTGTTCTCTGTTCTGCCTTGAACTCTTCTGTAAGCAAGCAGCAACCACTGAACAGTTTCAGCTATGGTGAGTGCTATAAAGTCGAGAACAGGAGCAGAGAAAGCAAGTTACTTGCCTAATTCAGAATGTTTTTATAATTGTCTTTACCATAACTCCATGGAAGAAGGAAAATCTATTTCCTTCATGCTTGGTTGGATTCAAAATTAGCTGTTGCCATTCTTTTATTGGCTTAGCACCTTGCTGGACTAGCTTAGTAACATCTTCAGCTCATGAATATGTAGTGTTTGTAATGAATATGCAGTATACTTCTAATTGCTTTTGTTCTTGTCGCTGAACATTCTCAGAGCTATTTAAAATGGGAATTTTAACTTTTTTCATGTATTCAGTCCATTTTCTGAAATAAATACAATTTAAGGGATTAAAGTCCATAGAATCATAAAGAAGTAGGGCTGGAAGGGATCCCCAGAGGTCATCTAATCCAGCCCCATGTCTGAGGCAGGATCATCTCTATCCAAATCATTCTATACAATCCATAATCTAAATGCCGTATGTGACTACTGTCAGCCCTGACAAAACACAGACCTAACACCTTAACCTGCCACAGGTAAAGCAGGGGAACTATGGCAGCCAAAGTCCTGTTTCTATTAAATGTTGTCAATATATGCTCAAGAGATCCCAGGTAGCAAGCCACAACCCCTGCTACCTGGGACCCAGAGGAAGAAAACCCCCCCACAGTCCATACCAATCTGACCATGGGGTAAATTTCCTTCCTGGCCCCAAGAATGACCATCAGTCTTACCCTGAGTGGAGGGACAAGACCCTCTATCCAGAAACTTCCAGCTCTAAGTCCCCACAGCAGCAATGGCACACCCCAATCAGTCTCCAGCCTTGGCTGTAGGCAGCACCCAAGGCCTCTGGAAAGGCTTAAAAATACCCTGACACCTGTAGCAGAAAGGAGGAAGGGGGCAGGGAAAGGAGGTGGGAACCAGCAAAACCCAGAAGCATGGGAAATACCCATAACAGAACATAAACATAGTTACCCCTAAATCATCCCCAACCAGTGGCTGTCCAACCTTTTCTTGAACACCTCAAGTGATGGAGAGTCCACAATTACCATAGGCAGTCTATTCCGTGCACTCACTCTTTTAACAGTGAAGATTTTTTTCCTCATATCTATTCTTAACTTACTTTGCTGCAACTTCAAGCCATCAGTCGACATCCTCCTCTCTGCAGCAAGAGGGAAAATGTGTTTTCTCTCTTCTTTATCACGGCCCTTCAAGTAGTTGAAGACTGCTGTCCTGTCTCTTCTTAAGAGCCTTTTCCATAAGCTGAACTCCTTCAACCTCTCCCCATATGACTCATTTTCCATCGTGTTGCCCATCTCTTGACCCTCTCTAACTTCTCCATGTCCATTTTGAAATGTGGAGCCCAGAACTGGACACAGTACGCCAAATGAAGCTGAGTAGAGAGGTGCTGTCATCTCCCATATCTTGTACTTAATGCTTCTGTTGATGCATCCCAAAACCACATCTGTTTTTTGTGCAGCTGTATCACACAACACACTCATACTGTGTCTGTGATCTACCAAGACTCCCAAGTCCTTTTCCATAGTGCTTTCATCCAGCCTGGTGTCACCCATTTTATATTTATGTTTTTGATTATTCCTCATGAGGTGCAGCACCTTGCATTTGTCCACATTGAACTTCATCCTGTTAGCTCTAGTCCAACTTTCCAATCTGTCAGGATCTTTCTGAATTGTGCTTGCATCCTCCATTGTGTTCGCAGTCCTTCCCAGTTTCATACTGAAGAAAAAATTGCTGAAGAAGCTTTCTATGCCAGCATACAAATCAATAATAAACACGTTGAACATCATCAGGCCAAAGATAGACCCCTGTGGGACTCCACTCTAAACTTCCTGCCATTCTGCCAAGGACCTGCTAATAATTAATGACCCTTTATGACGATTGAGCCAGTTTTCTATCTACCTTGTAGTAGTTTGATCCAGCCCACGTTTCTCCAGGTTGTTTATGAGAAGGTCTGGTGGAGCCTTGCCAGAAGACTTGCTGAAGTTCAGATTCATTAAGTCAAGTCCACAGCATTCTCTTTATCCACCCAAGCAGTTACTTTGTCAAAGAAGAAGATAAATTTTGTTTGACACAATATGTTTTTCAAAAATCCATGCTGGCTGCTTGTGATTTTCTTTCCTCCTCCAGATGCTTTCAAATGGCCTTCTTTAGGATATGCTCCAGTATTGAGCTAAGGCTAACCTGTCTGTAATTCTCTGGGTCCTTTTTGTCTTTTTAAAAGATGGGCACTATGTTGGCCCTTTCCTAGCCCTCTGGTAC